ATTTACGGCGGCGCGAGGCCGCGACACACGCGTGGAAAGCCCGACAAAGATGTCAAAGTGACCGCTCGAAGCGGCGAGAAAACTGGAGAACCTACTCGTGAAGGATTACGGTGCTCGAAGAATCGCAGCCGCCGGTGAAAGAGGCCGAGTGGCTTTCCGCTCGTGCACGCGCGCGCCAGGGGTGCCACAGGGGTGGCTATGATACTCCTGTCTTGTTTGACGTTCTATTATGTCCATTAATCGACTGGTTTGATTTACTTCCAACGAAGATCCATACGGTTGGGTTAGGTCATTCTCCGGGCGTGTAGAATGGGGTGCAAATTGTTTGGGGCGAGTGGCTGCAGCCTTTTATGAATTAGGAGTACATTTGCGTCATTGTAACCGCTCGTGGTAGTCGAGAATACATCTGTGGAGGCGAAGGTTGAAGTAGGTTAAGGACGTTAACCCTGCTACCCTCGTTGAGCTAACGTCACTCTCCATGAAACGAAAAATTAAGTTTTAAATATTCCTTTACCGCATTTATCTCGTTTCTTTGCTATTCGTCAAATTTTGTACCGACGGTGCTATAAAAATTACGAAAACAGCAGGGGGGGGGGATAGCAAGAACACCAAAATTAATAAATTACAGGTACACCGAGTGATACAGACACCTGCTGTACATCGTGTACCCTGGATCTAATTCGACATTTCGTGGGAGCAACAAAAATTGTGCATCGGTTTCTATTATAAACGATAAACGAAGGATTTAAAGAGCGAAAAAGCAGGAAGCTCGATCGAAGATGGAACCTCGAAAGCCATTGCATCCGACACACCGGAAACTGCCCATCCACGAACGAGATAACCCGTGGCCACCGGATAGAAGTGGCATGAAAACGAGATAAAAAAGGGGGGCAGGAAGATCAGGGAGAAGGAGCGACTCGTAATCGCGACGGAAGCGAGAGCCGGCAGAAAGCGGGAAAGAGAGCGAGGCAGAGGAGGAGAAAAAGAGAGAGAGAGAGAGAGAGAGGAAGACAAGAGATGGCCCGTGGCGGGGGTGGCGCGAGGAGAGAAAAATTAAGCGGATCAATGGTGGAGCCCCGGCGAAACGCCGGGATCCTCTCGACCCTCCGCGTCCTATCCTATCCAACCCCACCCTACCCCCACGGCTCCTCTGTTCCATGGAATCCTGAAATAAACACGCGGCGGAGATCGAAAAGTGGAGCTAATTAGAAATATATTCCTGGAAGCGAGAAGGAGCGAGATCGAGCGAGGAAGGGCGCGCGGCGCGCTATAGAGGGGTGGCTTCTCTCGTGGAGAGACGCCACGGGGTTTCGAACGTTGGAAACTCTCGAACCGTGGAGAGGACATAGCGCGGGACAGAGGGAGAGAGCGGAAAACGAAGGCGCGAGACGGGGACGGAGACAGTGGTAACGCACAGGTAGGAAACGAACAGAGGGAAGGAGGACAGAAACGAGGATGAAGAGACGGCGGAGGAGAGGAAGAAGAGAAGCGAGGGAGAGAGGGGCGAGGGGAGGGTTGAACGAGAGAGGTGGCGGCGGTGCTCTCGGTCGGGTGCTACGTAGCACGAGAGAACGGGTGAGAGAGCGGGTGAGAGAACGGGTGAGTGAGTGGGTGGCGGCTGAACAGCGGCGAGAAGCCGCGTAAGGGGAAGAGAGAGGGCGAAGATTCTCTGTCGTCCTCGTGGCGCAAGAGGGAGAGGAGGAGCGAGGGTGAACTCGAGCCCAGGGGGAAGGAAGGAGGCGGAGGTGGTGGCGAAGGAGGGCGGGCGGGGGAGGGAGGGGACAAAATGCTCGCTCGTTTGCAAGACAAAGAACCCGAGCCGCCGTACGAACTCGTAGTCGTGCATAAACGCTATCAACCCCATCTACATATTCCAGGGACCTAGGGGACGTGGGTGAGCAGAGGAGGGTGGCGAGCGAGGTAGGCCCGAGGCAGAAGGAGAGGAGAGAAAGATAGCGCGCGCGCAAACACGTTCAGAATCTCCAGGTCGGGCTTCCATCTCCGTTCCTCTCGATTTCTTTCTCCGTCCCCCTCGAAACGATACTCGGAGACCTTCGAGAAAGAGAGAGAGGGAAACCCAGCGATCAATTCGAATTCGAATTCGAGTCGTTCTCTCCCTATTCGCGATTTTTCCTCCTCCGGAGAGATCTCGAGGAACCATCGAAAGGCTAATGGAACGTAATCGAAGTTGTCGAACGGAACAGCCGCGTCCCTGTTATACTCGGTTCTAAAGTACACCCGACGTATCCAACTTCGCGATAACCGCAGAGCAGACCAAGAGAATCCCGGGTCCTAAGAACGTGTTCCGCGGAGCGCGTAGAAGCTGCCACGCGAGTAAAAAAAAGCATCGACTTCGAGGGTTAATCAAGTGCTTTTCCGCGAATTAATGCGAGACCACGCGGTGCTTCAAAACCGATTCCCTTGCCACTCGACCTCGTCCAGTACCCTCCCGAAAGGAAAGGAAAAAGAAAAGGGGGAAGAAAGAAGAAACAAGTACGCGGTCTGTAAAAATCCGTGTCACCGTGGAACCGGTAACTATGCGGTACCCCGTGATCACCCTCGATCCGCGCACGCGGAGCAGAATAACTACCCCTAGCTGAAAACCGTCGGTACGCCGGGGAAAATACATCGGTCATCGACTGTTAATCCACACTGGCTGGCGAGTTGATAGCGAGGGGTTCCCCAAAGGCAGGAGAGAGGCGGTCTCGGGGGCGGGTGCAACGAGGGTAGGAAGAAGAGAAGCTGTAGAAATAGAGAGGCGGGTTGAAACCCCCTTGACCCGGCGCCAGAGGGAGGCTGCATGCCTGGCTGATTAGCCTAATGGTGAGTCCTCCTCTTATTCTCCTACTTGACGCCAGTTCGCGAGCCTCTCTTCTCTCTCTTATCCCACCACCACTTCCGCTCCGTCTCTGTCGGTCCCTCTCCTTCCCTCTTTGTTAACCTCTCTATCCACCCTCTGGGGACGCCCGGTCTTCCTCTCCATATCTCCCTCGGCGTTCGAGCCTCGGCATCGGCTGCGGACCCTTCACTCGATAAGAAATATTCCTTCAATTAGGACCCCGTAGGAATATCAATGTTTGCACGGCTACCAACAACCGACCACGCGCAGAGACACAGACGAGTTTTAATTTGCCTCGAGAGCAAAGGACACTGCGCAGCTCGCGAACCGGGCCTACGAGGCGGTCTCCCTCCAGAGGGTAGCTTCTTCGGACCATTCCGGAAACGTCACGGCGCTTTATCCGACGGAAATTCACTTTGAAATTCTTCGTTACGAGCTCTGTTTAGCTGACAGTCGAATAATCCGGATGCACGCAGCGTGGAATTTCCTGGCTCAGCGAGGAATTTCGACGGGTGCACGGAAGGGGTGAGTTTTACGCGTTCGATTAGGAAAAAGCTACGTTTGGGATTCGAAGAATTTCCCGAGGCTGTTTACACGCGCGATAAGAAGTCGAGTGATGGATTTCAAAGTTGATCGAGTTGGTCATCACTCTGCTTATCACTCTAGATCCACTCCCTTTACTACGATAAGCCTACGTGCTTTCAATGGTAAATACCTTGCATCGGCGTGTTAAATTTAGAGTCAGATTTGTCATCATTAGCTGATAAAACGAACAGACTAGTTCGTATTCGGATATCGAATTAAGAATTTTTCTTTCGAGAGTGTTGAGATTTAACATATCGCAGCGAGAGTACCTCGAACGATTGTCGGCGCGAATGACGGAGGGATCAAACGATTGTCGGTGCTAGTGACGGAGAGATCAAAGGATTGTCGGTGCGAATGATGAGCAGAGCGAGCGAATGATCAGGTTAGATTATGCGTGAAAGACGAACGAGTTCTCAGAATGCGCGTGCATTTTTTGGGGTGCGTTATTGCAGTGTGCCCAGTGTGCATGAGAATAAAAGAAGGCTGAATTGCGAAGCGGGGATCAGTCGTTGACAAATTTAGTCTAACAGTCGTCGAAAGTTCTGACGAATCGCACACTTTAATCCCTAGGAAACATATTTTAAACCTAATTTTCTACGCGAATCCGATTCCGTAAAAATGGCAGAATTTTTGTGAGTCGCGATACTCGAGAGGAATTAAAGTTTATATTCGGCTGGTTGCGTTTTATGGGCGGATGGAATCGCGATGTCACGTTGCTTATTGTTAGTCGAGACTGGCCGCAGACGAAACCTGTTTATACTGTTCGCATATGACAGGGATGTTAATATTTGCGCGGATCGATAGAGTGAAATGATACGCGAAGAGTTGCCGCGAGCCAGACCGTGTTGCGCTATTACAGGGACGAGAGAAGTATTCCATCAATTACAATTTGAGAGGGTTGTCAATATTTGCGCCGACACTAGCGGTTTAACTTCGTAAAAGAATTATTGATTCAACCGATAGCACGGGGTGGGATCTCCGTCGTGTATGTTTTGTGGAAAGTTGAAGCCAGTTTAAGGCTAACTTTCGGGATCAAGAAGAACAGGGGTGGGTGCTGTTGGGTGCCAATTTCGTGTCAACGACCGTACTAACTTGGCGTTTAAATATGTCGCGATAACGTCACGATATCGCGTATTCCATTTTACCCAAATAACATACGACCTACGATTTCCCTATTTCCGCCTTTAAATTTCAACTCTCGAAATTTCAAATTTAAATTCCAACTTTTGAAAGTTAAATTTGTATCCCTTGCAATTTCAAATTTCAAGTATAAAAATTTACGAAGTCGAGGTAAAACCTTTCGAGCCATGTTCTTTGGAAAAAAAAGTATCTCGATATTTTAAAAACGCTACATCTTCACCAAAATACAATCGACACCCCGAAATTGTACCAGAAACGTATCAAGAGTACCGCGTTATTCTTCTCGCAAAGGCACCACCTACGTCTAAGAGTAATTCTCCAAAAAATTGTTTTCAAATATCACCTCGAAAAAAAAAAGAAAAAAAATAAGGAAATGAAAGAAAAAAAATATTCAACCTGTTCGAAGGTTAGTTTAAAGCCGATATTCGGTACTCACCTGCCGCCGCGGCTGCTTTACCCGCATCCAGCGTCCCGTACGGTGGAATTCCCATATGAGCAGGCGGTGGTTGAGTCAGGTGGTCCCCATTGGGGCAGAAGAAGGGCAACCCGCTCGGATGCGTCCCCGCCAGGCCCATCTTGCTCGCCTATAAATCAAACGGAGAGAGGGGAAACGGTTAGCATGAACGGCGTCGTGAAATCGAAACAAGTATATATATCCGGCGTCGTTTTCGACGCGGTATAGCGTACAGCCTTGCGTGTCGACGTTGCATTATCGTTATCGAGTAATTAATTAATACCGTGTTGATTAATGCTTCGTTAATGCAGCCGGGTAATTAGCAGTCCGCCCGGGGATATCAATTAATTAATTGATGCCCCGGAAGCATCGACAGGTGTTTGCGTGAGACTATATAAATTGATTTCTTTTCTCTGTCCCGTCGTTTGATCGATGATGCGTCGTCGTTCGTGCGTCTGCCGTTAATTGAATTTCGAAATTTCAAGACATCGATCGTTTCGCACAGTCGAATACGGAGTTAAATAATGCGTCGGAGTATGTGTCGGGGAGGAAAAAAGATTCGTCGCGAAGAGGGGGTCTACTACGTTGCGAAATATCCAGAGGGTGAGAGACACACACGTACGATAGGAAAGACTCGTGGACGTCGAAATAAAAAGATTCGATAATAATTGGCCCCCGATAAGGATAGCTCGATTTATCGAGTGCCAACTATAGTTATCCTTGATCAAACAGCCTCCCTGCGCCATCGAAACCGACCCATCTACCGCAACGTTCCCACCACCAACAGGCTGCTTTAACGATCGAACAAAGGTAGTATCCGATTCTTTGATCGGCCCCGTCGAGTACCATTTCCGTTCCTCCCTATTTAACATAGACATTAGCATCGTTGTCGTCCACGGTTCTGCGTCCCGCGGACGGTCCCGTCGGCCCAACAAGGACGGACGAGGACGGCTAAAAAGCCCTCCTCCTCGTCGAGGAGGAAATATAATATACAATTCGATAAACTCTCGAAGGGGAAAGCGCGCTTATCGAGGACGAGCTCGAGCATTAATTTGCAAAGACGGCGGCGCGCGCTCCTCGAACGTTCGAGGGTTCGTTCTCGTTCGGCTTTTCCATTCGCCGGCTCGACGACGACGTATCGCCCAATTCGAGTGGCCCTTCAGCGTCCTCTCGCGCGACGAGTCGCGTCCCTTCTTGTCCCTTCGCTCCTTGCTTCCTCGCTCTTTCTCTCTCCCTCCTTCTCCCTCTCTTCCTCGCTATTCTCCTCTTCCTAACAGTCGACGGAAGAGAATTAGTTCAATCTGGCCGCTGCGAAGCTCGCAAGGTCGCTAGCTCTCTCCCACTGTGTTCGTCGTCGACGACCACGACGACCACGACGACCACGACGACGACGACGACGGCGACGGGTTCGCGGCGACGATCGATAGCTCGAGTGGTTGTCTCTTATCAGTCGGTGCTTACCATGAGTGCGGCGGTATCGCGCATCGATCTGACGGCGAGTAATAGTCCTGGATCGAGAGGCTCCCTTTCCATCCAAGTCAGCACCCTCGACAGCAGACCGACAGTCTCTTCCGCGGTGGGCTCGTCTTCCTCGTCCTCCTCCTCCTCGTCCTCCTCCTCCCCGTCCGTCCCTTGTTGCTTCCCGCCCTCGTAATCGGCCCACTTCTCCTCCGCCTCGATCTTCACGCGGCAATGATCCTCCTCGAGCTCCTTCTTCCTCACGCACCACGACGACGGCTCGTTGCTGCCGCTGCACTCGTCCTCGAGGATCCACTTGCTCAGCTCGTCGTCGCTGACCTCCAGACCCACTTCTCTGGCCACGTTCTGCAGCTCGATCAGAAGCATCCGGTCCTCCTCCTGATCAGCCGACGCGACGTGCACGCGCGAGGACAAGGTCAGACCGATCGCGTTGTTCGAGCAGCCGATCGAGGCGTCGTCGCGATCGCGAGGCAGGATCCAACTCCTGGCGAAGGTCTCCGATCGGATGCTCAGCCAGGCCCGGTGAAGATCGGCGAACGCTTCCTTCAGAGTGAACCTTCGCAGATAGGCTGTCAGAGGATCGGCCTCTTTGCCGGGGTTCGAGATGTTGCGATAGACACCGTAACAGGCTCTCGAGAGCACTCCGGTAGCCAGCCTGACTCTCAGCTCTCTCACCACGATCCTCGTCTCGAGGCAGTCTTTCGGTACGACGAACAACCTGACCAATCCATCGGCTGCCACGCAATCTGCCTCCGGTGGTAAGTAATCCGCGGTCTCCGCGACCAGGACGGCGCCATCCGGGTGCATGGCCATCGCCGTCACGGCGAACTCTCGATGGAACCACCAGAGGAACAGGTCCACCGTTAGAGAACCCCTGCCTCCACCGGCGTATATCACCGGCTGGCTCAACATGTTGACTCGTCTGAGGCAACGTGGCCGCCAATGGCGACCGGTTACCAGTAGCCGCGTCCTGTGGTGGCCCTCGTGATCCGCCGCCCCCACCACCCACACCCTCTCAGCGTCGCCAGCTGTGGCGACGGCGGCGGTGGCGCGGCGTCGTCCAGGCAGGTCCCGCCAATCCAGGAAGGACACATGTGCGAGGTAGATTCTGCTGCGATCGTAGTTCTCCAGAGCGTTCCGCAGGCTCTCGATAACGGAGGCGTGAGAGACGGTTGGGCAGCCTCTGAGACTGGCCTGAGCGGACAGTTCGGTTACCTTGTCGGAGGTGGTGGAGACGGAGGAGGAGAACGGCGAGGAGGAGGAGACCGTCGAAGAAGTAGGAACACAGGTGGACGACGTGGAAGCCGTGGTAGCAGACGATTTTCCGGTTATCACGTCCCTGACACCGCGTGCCCTTACGGAACACTGTCTCTCCTGTTTCCTCTTTCTGATCCTGTCTTGGTGAAGCTCGTTCCCGTACCTCCTCGCGTCCGCGGTACTAGCCTCCTCGATCGTTCGATCGTTCTCCTTGCGAGGATTATTCTCCCGGGAGATTGCACCGGTAGAGGTCGGCGAGGTGGAGTGTGCCGGCGAGGAGATGTTGGACGGAGGCGAGATGGACCTCCTGGATGACGCGTCCGTGGATGAGGACAGGGCTGGCGAAGACAACGACGTGGAGGAAGATACCGTACCATCCCCGTGATTGGGATCATCCTGTCGATCCTCGTTCGTGGCGATCCGATCGCGGTGGCGTTGCCTGCTGGTCGGCCATCGTTGCACCAGGGTGCCGTTTTCACGGGGCTCGAGGCCACTCTCCAGGGGCTGGCGCATGCGCGCCGCCCACGACGATCGACCCTCGCACGCTGCCACCGCAGACTTGCTCGTTCTGGTCGTCGTCGTCGTTGTCGTTGTCGTCGCTGTCGTAGTCGTAGTCGTAATCGTAGCGTTGTCGCTGCTTCCGTCCACCGATTCGCCACTCTTAACGATCCTATCCACTTGGCCCACGTCTGCGGCGACCTCTTCCGTCGCCTCCTCCGCCGTATCCTCCTGCGCCGTTTGTCGACGCTGCTGCTGCTGGTCATGCTGATTCTGCTGCTGATGATTAGGGCCGCGCACAGACCTCCCTTTGGCGGTCGCCCTTGGGTTGAGGCGCGTGCACTTACTGCCACGGGGCGACATGATCGTCGTGGTGCACGGTGTTGTCCACGATGTCGGCCGTAGCGTTCCCGCGATGGACGAATCTGCTGGCCAGCGGTGGCCTGCGAATCCCACGGATTCGGCGAGCGTTCGGGCGAGCGTTCGCGCGCGCGCGACCGTTCATCCACGGCGTGCCGGCTTCGCCTACCGAGCGATGACTGAGCGAGCGGCCGCGACGCAGCCGTCAAAGGCCGGAGCGGGAACTAGAAGGCTTTGATGTACCGCCGCCCCGGCGCGCACAAAGCGAAAGCGGCCCCGGCTCGTTGGTTGGCATGCCACGGGGGCGGGGGCGGATAGAGCGAGAGAACGGGAACACGGGCGAGCGCGCGCCACGGGAACCGAGCCAGAGAGAGCCGGGGAGAGAGAGAGAAAGAGAGAGAGAGGAGACACGGCTGCCGCCAGGAGGAACTGGGCGGCAGGAGGAGGAGGACGACGGGGGAGGGAGAGAAGGAGCACTCGCGAGCTGCAGCGGGACAGAGATAGCACCCAGCGGCGGATGTACAGTCACCGAGAGCTTGGGACAAGATACACGCGAGAGGTTTCCGCGACGAGCGAGGGGGGGTGCGTGTGCTCTCTGGGCCTGACTGGCTGACGATGGTCACTTGCGCGAGTTAGGTTAAGGACTACGAGTCACGACGAAGTATGGCGATGCGAAGCTGGATCAGGGTGAATGGTAATCGATGACCCATTTTGAAACCTTCTACGCCAAGTTTCGTCGCCGCCGAAATTTCTTCGTCGCAGACGCAACTTTAGACATCGAACAGATAGCCGTCCGCATTTTGCAGCTATAGTCTCTAATCGCAGACTTTCCTCGAGACTCACCGGAACTCGAACACACTCTCGCGAGGTTTGTCTTCCTAAATAATCAGAGGAAGAATCGTAGTCTTCTCTAATTTTTAATCCGACAATTTTTACCTTCGTATGCGCATGATTTTCCTATCTATCTTGTTTTCCGTCGAGTACGAGTCAACGAACTATACGTACTCCATACCACGTGACGCGAAATATCATACTCCATCGATAATCTTTCCGTTAAAACGTCTCGCATCCTCGACGAGCACTCGCGACTATAAACTCGAAAAAGAAAAAAAAAAAAAAAAAAAAAAAAGAAAACGCAGAAAATTCGAGAAGATAATAAACTGCAACAAACCAATAAACACTATCCGTTATCGAGAAAAGTGCACAGTTAAGCCTGTATAAACGCTCTCCACGAGGGGTGAGTGTACCCGTCTCCGTGTCGCAGAACGCAGTTACCGGAATAGACGTTCCCCTTGGAAAGGGGGTTGATCGAGCGAGCCGCGTTTATCGGTGCTCCAATTTGCACGGCAGAGAGGCAGACTCTCGCGAGGCTTTTTTTCGTAACTGGAGCGAAAGATCAGCGCTTCGAGCGATTCGAGAGACGCGTATTGGCCGATGTTTCGTTTTAGGGGAGTAAGACGCGATCGGTCAGACATTTATTCCGAAACTCGCCTGTGCCCTCGACTCACAAACTCGTTAAAAATCGCGATTTCTCGG